TTTGCAACAAAATCGCGAATTTTTTGAGAAAGCTTTGGAAAGTAAAGCTTCCGCAAAAGTTGTAATTTATTTTCTTCAGCACCGCGATGTGCTCGGTAGTGCTCCTGACGAATGACATTCCATTGTTCGTCTTCCTCCGGTACATCTCGTAGTAATTTCTGAGAGAAACGGATCTTCAATATTTTCTTATTTCCAAAATGTTTTTTGTAAACTTCTTGCAATTTTGCCATTATATTTTCGCTAGTGAATAGTCCGTTAATCTTAGAAAAGTCGAAGTGATTCTTTAAAACCTGTAGGAGAGAGTTATCATTAATATGGGCTATCGTAACTTCTATTCGTGTAAAATGGTCGAAAGGACGAGTAACGACTACTCTGTCAGGTCCATGTCTCAAAATGACTTGGTGTCTGAAACTATTGATTGGTGCTTCAGTTGATATTATATAAAAATCGTCCCTGTTTTCAGCAGAATGTTGAGTGGCAGTCATTGAACACACTATTCTGCTCAAAGCATCTGCAACTACATTAGATCTACCGGGTTTATATATAATTTCGAAATCATGTTCCTCTAAATATGATTTCCATCGTTTTAATTTTGCATTCGAATTTTTTGGAGATAAACTAAACGTTAAAGGCTGGTGATCTGTTAAAATCTTAAATTTTGCGCCGTACAGATAATTGCGAAACGCTTTTAGTGACCAAAATATAGCAAGCATTTCTTTTTCGGGAACAGAATATTTTTCTTCGCATTTCGTCAATGTGCGCGAGGCGAAGTGTATTGGTCTATCGTTGCCTGCTTCTCCTTGAGACAATACTGCTCCAATAGCATAATTGGATGCATCAGTCGTCAAGGTGAACGGTTTGTTAAAATCAGGATAAATTAGTATATCCGAAGATGAAAGTAAACTTTTCATACGATTGAAACATTTCTTTTCCTCTTCAGATAGGTTTATTTTCCTGTTAGATGAAGGGTTCCCTTCCCCTCTTAAGAGATTTGTGAGAGGTTTTGCAATTTTTGCGAAATCTTTCACAAATCGTCGGTAATATCCCATCATTCCCAGGAAAGATCTAAGTTCCTTGATTGATGTAGGTTCTGGAAATTTATTAATTACTTCAATTTTTTTCTCATTTGGCTTAATTCCATCGGAACAAATAATATAGCCAAGAAATTTTACTTCTTGCTTAAGAAATTCAGATTTATCTAACTGAATTTTAAAACCAGCATTGTCAAGGGTTTTTAAAACAATATCTAAATTTTTTAAATGCTCATCTTAGTCTTTTCCAAAAATCATAACATCATCGATGTATACATAACAAATTTTACCGATGTGTTCTCTGAGTACATCATCGATAGCTCTTTGAAAAGTTGAGGGAGCGTTCTTTAATCCGAACGGCATCCTCGTGAACTCGTACTTCCCATTATTTATTGAGAAAGCTGTTTTCTCAATGTCAGATTCTTTCATCTTGATCTGGTGAAATCCAGAAGCCAGATCAATAGTCGAAAAATATGTTTGCCCTTTCAACTGATCGATTACATAATTAATTTTAGGTATGGGATATCGATCGCTTATAGTTTTCTCATTAATTTTGCGGTAATCAATTACCATTCTAAACTTTTTTTCTCCAGACGCATCTGTCTTTTTAGGAACTATCCACACTGGCGATGTACAGGCAGACCGTGAGGGGCGAATAATACCATCAGCGAGGAGTTTGCTGATTTGCTTATTAACCTCTTCGGTATACGCTGCTGGATATGGGTAGACCTTTTGGTGAATGGGAATATCGTCTGTTGTGTTAATTGCACATTCTACCTTTGTTGCATATGTCAATTTATTGTTTGGTTCATGGAAGCATCTTTCGTTAGATTTGAGAATTAGATCCAATTTTGATTTTTCTAATGTAGAGAGATGAGAAGTTCTGAATGTTACGTTTGAAGATTTTTCAATAGGTGTATACTCTTGAAGGGGAATTTTTAGTTGGGTTTGATGATCATTTAACGTCAACGTTTTATTAGCTAAATCTATGTTTGCATTTAATGCTTTTAGTATACCTGTGCCAATAATACCGTGAAAAAATGGATGAAATTTATGCAATAGAAATTTAGCCTTGTGGTTAATTTTTGTTTAAAAAAAGTTGATGTCTATTGCAGATGTAGCATTAAAATTGCCGTTAGCACTTGAAATGCTATTAGCTGTGAAATCATAGGGTTTTGCCTGTTTGTAAGAATATGCTAGCTTTGGGCTGATTAAATTTATATTAGCTCCTGTATCTATGAGAAAAGGAAAATTTCCGATAGTCGTCTTCAAGTTGATGAATGGTAACACCGGTATCACCAACTTGGGTTCCATTCTAAAAAATTTGCCGTGGTAGAAGAGTTAGCTGTTTCTTCTGGTGCTTTTTCATGGTTGCTTGTAACATCTGTGAATACTTTCTGATCAGCGGAGTACATATAATCGTTATGATCTTCGTAAGGATCCTCGTGTGTTTATCAATTTGTGGTGTAATATTCATCTTCATTTTCATAACAAAAATCTTGCAAATTACACTGCTCATCATCTAAAGCGTGCGCTTGTCTTTTAAATTGACTTGAATTATTTTGGGGTCTATTCGAATAGTTTATATGTCGTGAACGTATACTCTGGTCTACGTCCATTGGTTCTGGTTTTGGGAAATTTTGTTGGGGTCTAGGATGATGGAACTGGGGTCTAAAAGGATTTGTGTTTTGGATTGGATTATTGCGGAGGTTGTCGGGGTTGATTGAAAGAAGTTTGGTTATGGAAAGGATTTTGTGATAATGGCTGAGGTCTTGGTGTGTTAAACGGGTTATTGTTATAAGAAGGAAATCTTGGTTGCATAAGCCGTGGTGCTGGGATGGGTGGGATGTTTCTTCTTGGAGGTGGTCTAGGTGGTAACATTTCAAGTTCTCGTGGTTTTATTACTGGTTTATCGGATAATGTGCTTTTGAAAGATGAGGAGCGAGCGTTCATATTGAAATAATCAATACAGAAATTATATGCGGCACTCAGGTTTTCTACTTTTGCTGTCTTCAGCAATAAATTTAGAGGACTATCTAGACCTCGAATGAATGAATCCAAAGCTTTTTTCCTAAAATAGGCAATATGTGATTCTACGTTCGCTTTAAATTCATCGTTGGTCTGAATTTGTGAAATTGTTGCAGCTAAGAGCTCGTTAACTCTGCTGTAATAGGATGATAGGTTTTCATGGTTGTGCTTCTGTATAGAAGTCAATTCGTAGTCAAGGGTTTGTAAATCCCTTTTATCTCTGAAGTATAAAATGAGACAATTCTTAATTTCACACCAGTTATATAAAATATTATTAGAATTGAGCGCATTGGATGCATCTCCTACAATTTTCCTTCGAATGGTCCTTTCGAGCAGGCCATACTGATAACTAGTCTTGGGCAGATCCTTGTATAGGTGCAGGATGCCCTCTACGTCTGATATCCATAGTGCTAGATCAGACGGTCTTTCACCACTAAAAGTGGTCAAATCCCTAGCAAAATCAGGGATTTTTCCCACGTCAATAAATCGCTTCTTTGCCTCTTCTTGGCGGGCCTTCGTTTCTTCGTCTTCCATCATAATGTTTTGATAATAGAAATCTACCCGAGATTTTTTTAAATACTTTTCACTTGTAATTTTGAAGCACACAAAAACTCACTTAAAAAAAAAATCCAAAAGCACTCAATTGTTTCAATTTACTGGATTGGATAACTAATTTGCACTGTTCTAGCTCACTTGTGAAACTGATTTTATGGTAATAGTAAAATAAAATGAATCGAATAGATGAGATACAAAAAGATTACTTACAAAAAATAGGCCAGCATTTGAACTGGACTTCGATGCGGTTCCTTCGCTGATTGGGGAGAACGGGAGCAGGCACTTCAGGAACTGATCCGGTTCGCTGGAGTCGCTACTGCGGGCCTTGGTGCCGATCGGGGTGTTTTCCCACGGTGTCTCCTGTCCTGCTTCGTCTGGGGCTGTGCTGGCTCTTAAACCAGTCGTGAATTTCACTGTGATCACTTAATAGCTGCTCGACTCTTTGAACCGATGGGAGATGATTGTTTTTTTAATCACTTTTTAAGATTTTCGCAGATCTATCACTAGTTTTCACTGTGTTCACTTTAATAGCTGCTCGGCTCTTGGAACAGATGGGAGATGATTTTTTTCTTAAATCACTTTTTTAAGACTTTCGCAGGTCTATCACTGGTGTTCACTGTGCGGCTCTTTCCACCGTTATTAGTTGATTTTTCACTTCAACCTGCTTTTAAATTTTCACAGTTTAACACAAAGAATTTTCACAGTCACAGACTTATACAGTTCCCAAGTGGAAGGTCCCTATTCGGGCGCCACTTAAGTTTTTTGGGTAACGGATTTCTTTTTAAAAAAGATTAAACATCTAGTCCACTTCAACACTCACTTAAGACTAACTTTATTTCTATCGATTAATGCTACAGGTGAACTTTATGTCTACTCAGCACCTCATGCCATCGGTGCAGAGTCCATGCACTGTCGTCCACGTTGGTCAATTTTGCTGATGCGCCTCGATGCTGCCGGTGCGATGTCGTTCATTAACCGGCGGCCGAGTCCCACGAATTCTGCTGACGTTCGTTGACACCTAGTGAGGACTTTGCACTTATTGTTCTACCAGCCGGATGGCAATGTTGCTAAGTCGGGTGACGATGTTGCTAACTCGCGTAAAAATTAATCTTTTAAATAGCGAGAACTCTCCAATCTCGTATAACGAGATAAATTGATCCACAGCACGAGTTGATATATATTATGCAAAATGAAATCAAGATGTTGTATTGGTAAGTTCACATCACAAAACAGATACTGAAAATGTATCATTCCCAAGTCAGCTTTCCCGCAATCCACCAGCTCAAGTGAAGCAAAAAATGTAATCAACCATATCATAAGCTGACATTTACAACCACCATTATCACTATTCTCTTTCTCCCCACCACACGCCCCACCACAAAACAGCGTACAGCATCCAACGAGAGCCAGGTGATGCTAACCAATCTGAATGCGTTGTCATCGGGCAAGTACAGCTGCGAGGTGTCAGCGGAAGCGCCATCCTTTCACACGATGATCGTCACGGGCGATTTGGAAGTCTGCGGTAAGTGTGAAAACCACCAACACATGTATATTCACGCTTTTTTTTTATTCATTATATTCTACCCTCCACGCATTTCCACTGAGACTCAACCGCGTGGGTGTCATCCACACGCCGACCGCCCACCTCGAGTGTGATTCTGATTATGGCACATCCGGTCCTCGGCCCACTACTGGGTCAAAACCTCGACGACCTCAACCACCTGTCTGCCCGTCCGTTGTGCATTGGTGTGGCTTTCTACATTTGAACATTGCTACGAACAATTACGTGTGAAAATGACACACAGTCAGATGCAGCCACTGCCAGCTAGAGAGAAAGACAGGCATAACATAAAGACAATAATTTTAAATTTTAACCGAATAATTAACCCCGGAAACGGGTTTCATTATTTATCAATTTTGAAACCATCAGCTGAAACGGATTTCTCCCCATGGCTGGTGCGGGAATTCACCGAACCCTGGTGTGGTTTTGACCCTCTGGCCTGGCCCGAATGGTGTGAGGTTGAGAGCGAAAGTGTGAATCATGGCCCCTGTCAGGCCAGTCAGTGTCGGCAGCAATTCCGCAGAGTAGTTGCTAGTCTGAAACCACAATGTGATTAAATTTACTCAGCCCACCTCGGCGTGATTCAGGCCGGAATGGGTAAATAATTGTATACAAAGGACATACTCATACAAGTAAATAAGTAATGTGAATGGAATCGATTGCTCTTTAACAGATGATTACTGCGGGCGGGAAACTCGAAATGTCACAGCGTTGGATGGGATTTTGTGTTGCGGGATGTACTCTTTTAATTTAATTCAATACGATTTATTAATATCACCAAACAAATACTCGGAATATTTAACAATGCAGCATCAATATGAAGCAATGCGATGGTTGGAATTCATATAAAGCCTGTGCAAACAAATGAAAAGCGAATATTTGCGTAAGAGTAGTATTAAGATTTACTAAACGGTTTACGGACATGAGCGACGGAGATGGATGGAACGGCTGACCATCTCTCCGCAAATCAATGTTTAACGGACCATTTTGCTATATACCAGTTTTTATAGAACCAAAAACGTCGTATGTCCATCTATCGCGGACATTGTCGGGCAACGCGGTTGTCCTATGAAAGGGCGAAAACAATTTCCACCATTAGTCAGTACGTTATCATCATCGGCCATGGTGCATTTCGATGAAGAAGGCTTATTAATTAGCTAATAATGCTTGGAGTGAGTTTAGCTACGCAGAGTAGCGTCCTTTTCCCAGATTTTTAGTCACTAGCTAGTTTATCTCCAATAGGGTAGCTAGGGTAGTTTTTCAGAATTTCATTAGATGTTTAATTATATATTGTACTTGTAAGTTAAAAGAAGCGATTGTAAAGTATGTGTGGCATAAATATTTACAAGCATCCTGTCTTGAACTTCTCGAAGTGTGTCATCAATTGTGCAGAATCAACGGACTACTCAGCCGAAAACTTTACGGTAACTGCTATTAGGAGGACAAAAACGTAGTGGTGGCATAGGCAATACTTGGAATAATACCCTGGAAATTATCCTCACCCTCTAGGGTACAGTGGTGCCCCAGTATATTTACTTTGGATGGATTCGGTGCAAGACGCGGGCGTTCTACTCTTCTCCAATGCTCTGCTAACCGTGCTTTGAGTTTGGACATACTCGATTTCGATGACAACAACCTGCACCTAACTGTGGTAATTGGGAGATTAGGCTTTGAAGGACAACCCGTGCACGTTGAAAGCCATTTCTTTTCAACATAGAAATCCAAAGTGTACTAAAGAAAGTACATAGCTGCTAAAGTGCCACATTTAAGATTGATTAAGATTGGTGGTCTCATCTTACCAATAATACTGGAATTTCTGACGACCTTCTGATAATAGTTTAAAAATTCATAACAGTTTTGGAAGAATGCTTGGCCGATGTTGGATTAGAAACTAACGAAAAAAAGAGTCAACTTCTTATTAGGGAGCCGAATGGCACGAAGAGTACACCGAAGATGATATAATTTTATGGTAAGGATTCCCATGTAACAATTTGGGTTTTATTGGGGTTCTGAAGATCATTATTAAGACTTGTAGAATGCTATAAAACCACGATAAAACTTGCAATGCTACTTGGGTTATGATACCTGCGAATCAATGACATATCTTGGAGTGAATCTTACAAGCACACTTAATCGTCCAGAGATGTGAAGACAGAAATGCGTACAACTTTGAAACCACCGTGGGAAATTGGGAGACTAAAGACTGGAATGCGCAAAAATTGGTTGACAAAAAAAAAGTATCTCTCAGTCAAAATTCATATCACAAAAATCTTCTTATTTTTAATTTTTTCTAATATATTGAAAGGAAAAAAATGTTCGTTTATTCTTTTGCTTTGCCAAATCCGAACTGCCTATTTTTTAATTCTTTATTGAGGAGATTTTAGCCTATGGCTAGTTCATCTTCGGAGAAAAGAGAGGCCTTAGAGTAAGTAGCCTCTAAATACATGGTATTTTAAAATTTTGTAAATAAATTTGATTGCTGGCTCTTCAACTAATATGGAAATAATAACAATATATAAAATAGTGAAACAGAGGAACAACAGAAAACAAAATGATTTAAAACAAGCTACAAACGAATAATTCAAACAAAACAGAGCTCAACTGGCATGGCTCTCATAGGGGAAATTTATTCAGCTGACAAATCCCGCTGGCCGAAAAAAATTCCTGCTATACCAAGTGGTAGATTTTGGCTTCTTTTCGTTACTAGTGCTTCCGAGGCCGATGTATCATTCCCCAGTAGATCGCTGATGCTGGAAGTTAAGCAGAGTGACTCCCGAAAATTTTGGAACTCCGGGCAGTTTCACAGGATGTATTCGACGGTGTAGGGTACCCCACATATGATGCAGCTTCTGCGGAACGGCAGGCCACCATAGTTATGGTAGAGTTTGGTGTGCCCGGTCTGAAGCCGCTAAATCACGCGTTGATCTCTCAGGCTGTCCAGTTCGCTCCATGGTTCAGTTGACCTTTTGATTTTACTGATGAAGGCAGTTCTGTTGCGGAACCACTCGGCCTCCCATGCCGCTCGAATGGTCCGCATGATCCACCGTCTGACGTCCTGTAGAGGTACCTTGTCGGTGAGTCTGTGACCCGATGTCCCGGCTCCAGCAAGGTGATCAGCAGACTCGTTACCTGGCACTCCGCAACGTCCGGGAATCCATATGTGCACGGTGTTCGGTGGGGCGATACAAGTATTTCCCGTCGCGTAAAGCAACCTACTGTCGATGATGGTTCGCGCCACCCGGGAACGAACATCGCGGTTGTTGGATCGGTGAGGCCGAGAGATCGTTTTAACGAGGTTGAATCTACTGCGGCAGTCCTTTTTGACCTGTTGGAAATGCTGGTCGAAGGCGAGCGTTCGGTCGATCAGTACGCCGAGGACGCGAACTGTTGTCCTGTTTGGAATGGCTTGGTCGTGGATCGTAATTGAGGTGCTATTGACTCGGTGATGAGACGAACATACGTGGCATCGGATCGGATCCATCGAGTCGGTCAATTTGACGACGGCAGAGACTGCCGCTTGCGCTTGCCGTAGGGTTCGGATCTGTGTAGGACCGGTGGCCACAAATCCGAACTGCCGTGCCTTCCACTTAACCCCTGCACAGTGGTCTCATCGACCTTATTCGCCGCCGAACGCCAGATAGATTTCAACTGCTGCTCGTTTTCCATAGATTTATTAGTTTTTTTTTAGATTCTGTTTGACCATGGCCCAATACCGTTCGATAGGGTGGAGTTCTGGGCTGTTGGGAGGGTTGTGGTCTTTGGGTACCACAACCACGTTGTTCGCATCGTACCACTCGATTGCGTTTTTCCCATAGTGGTAGCACAGGTCTATTATTTTGCTCTATCAATGGTAGCAGCCGCTTTTCCAGGCACTCCTGGACGTAGATCTCTTGATTGATGGTTCCCGTAGTAATGAAAATGCCGCTTTTCAGACACGTGCATATGGCCTGTCAGACGAGATATTTTTTCGGGAACTTCGATAGTATGATGGTTTTGAAAATTTCAGCCACCTTCCCTTTTCCTGATGCGGTATAAAACTCCTGTCCCGGAAGCTGCTTGAAATCCGCCTTCACATAAGTTTCGTCATCCATGACGGCACAGTCGAATTTTGTCTTTTGTTTGTAATCTTGGCTCGCCACCTTCACCTTCTTAAACATCGACAATCCGGCTCGTTTCTTGGCCTGCTGCACAGTAGTATGGGAGACAATGAACTTGCTAGCGACGTCCCGGGTGGAGGGGTTAAGATTTCGCTTATATTTCACCGCCACCTTCTTCGTCGTCGCTGCCACGTCCGGATTACGATTGCCACCGCTTCCAGGCTTCCTGGCGGTCGACAGATGTTCCCCGAACACTTTTAAAACGTTTGGCACGATCGATTTGGCCACATCCAGCAATTTTGCCAACTTGGCGTGTGAGAACGTTGGATTCTCTTGCTGCGCTAGCAAAATTTTGACACGCTGCTCCTCTTGCTTGGACGTCATTTTGAAAACTGGAGAGCAAACGATAAAAACTCATCACCAATTTGAAGTTGACCAATTTTTGCGCGTTCCAGGCTTTATTAAAAAAACAAAAAAAAAATACATATTAAAAGTTACCTAAATATGGATTCGCTCTATGTGTTTAACTTAGAATATCTCTAGCGTTTTACAAAATATCAATTTGGTTTATAAATTGCTGTTCAATTTAAGCTGGAGGTGGTGAATTTGTAATATCTTGAGTAGTTTTATATAATGACTACTGTTAAGATTGCAAAAATCAATCGCCACATAAAAGAACTAAACGAACAACTAAAATATGTAGATTAGTGCTAAACGGTACATCCAATGTAGCTCTCGTACAAAAACCTTACTTTCGCAAAGGAAACTTTTATCTAGAAAAACTCGTGAGCCCAACCTTTGCTAGTTTTAACAAAAGTAAAATGCCAAACTCCTCGAGCATGTGTGCGTCTAAATAATGCAATC